ATCTTTGGAGAGATAATATTTCCCACATGAAATAACAAATATTTCCCAAATGAAATATTTGAAATATTTCCCAAGAACGACGATGAAGTAATTCTTGAAGTAGATCCATTCCAATATTTGCATACGATCATAAAATCTTTGAGACGAAAATGATAACCGAAAAACTGCTAGAAAATGAAAAATAGATAAATAATTAATGCATACTTTTATCACTATAATTATTTGTAACTTCAATGTTATTCTATCTGCTGTCGATTTTTTCACAAATACAAAAAGTCGTATTTTCAATATAACTCGAAGGTTAACATGCTACTATTTCTTGATAGCCATTTAAATGAAACCGTTATTACAAGTAGTAAGTTTTTTTCCTATTTGTTTTTAATAATAGCATAAATAATATCAGGAGAAAAGGAATGCGGAAATCTTACATTCCGCCTTAATAAAAATATTTTCTGGAACAGTAATTGAATTAATATATTAATACTATTTAATGAGTAAACATAATAATTTGAATTTTTGGGCTCCTAAACAATTATACGTGCTTTATCTTCCAATTGATCGGTATATATACAAACGGCATTTTCTCCCGCTATTCTCGTCTGTTGTGTAAAAAAAACATTTATTTTTTTTTATGCACAACAAAAATTATATATTGATAATCCATGAATGTTTTGAAACAATTTGAGCACAAATTATTTTATACAACACTTATGACATATAAATATTTGGGTTTTAGTAGGGCGTAAAATAGGCAGGTCATCAACGACCAATGGTTCATTTGGAATTTGATGGTGTTTGTTGGTTTTCCACCAATCCGAACCCGCCATAGCACTAAGCGAGAAACGTCCCTAGAAACCGGAGTCCGGACTCGAAGAAACCGGAGTCCAGAAAGCGCCAAAGTCCCTTAAGTCAGGTGGTGGTTTGTGAATGTTGGAGACACGAAGATTGAACAGAGGATGTGGATAAAAACCATTTAATCCACATTAGTACATTCCACCAATGTTTACAATTATATAAACCTGGAAAAGTCCAAATCCTAAATATATTTTTGTATAAAGATTATTAAAAATATAACGAATCAATAGATAAAATAAGGAGCATATAAAATATTACAGACAGAATTAATTTCTTCTAAGTGGCACGGTTTCGTAGAATATGTTTCCGAGGTGAACACTTGAAACCAAAAGGTTCAATTCCCATTATTTGCATCTGTGTAAACAACTTGTATGCACCACACGTTGGGTAATGATTTTTAAACTTTTTTTCATTGAAAAAATCAGCATTAAAAAAAATAATAAAAGTGTATTTTAGTAATTGATTTATTATAATACAATTACTACTTACAGAAAAAAAATTAATTGTTTATTAAGATTACTGGATCTTGTGGCGCATTACCAGATTAACAGCCACTTCATTGAGTTTAAAATTGAAATATAGGATAAGAACGGATATTTAATTTTTTGGAAAAAAAAAAAATATAGAATAAAAATAACTGTAGAAATGGACAAGATAAATATTCTACACTCTTATTTTGTTCATTTATTTATTTTTCGGTGGAATAAATACATGGAATAAACACTGTTTCTCTCATACTTCTGTCGAGGAAATAAATAAGCGAGTTTAGTAGACTGCATCGATTTGTCCCATACAATAAATGAAGGTCGAGGGCTTGACTATTGTACACTACCGTTGTTGAACACAAAAGAAATAGGGTGTACTCTACTTCCATCAAACTCATTGACGACTCTCATCGATAACAAAAATTTAGAATATATGACTAATAATAAATTGTGCATTTTGTTCAGAAATTTTTTTTTTTTTTTTTATATCAAAGGCTTCAACCACTAGTTTCATTATTGCCTTATTTTCATTGAGAGTTAGATTCTATTTTCAAGTTTCGAACATTTCAGAAAAGAAAATACTTTGTCAATTTCATTTGTATTATCCTGTAAAATGATGCGTAGATCGTTTGTCAAGTCACGAGATAGTCTAAATGTTTGGTAAGCTCTGCATTCTGTTAAAATGTGTTTCACTGTCAGAGGGGTCACACAGGTTTGAGAAGAATCACGGGCCATCAGGTATCCAAGCATAGGGCGTGTGTGAACTATGCGCAGGCGCGTTAGAATTACTTCCTCTCTGCACTTACTCCAATTTGACGATGCCCAAGAAAAAACGTTATCCTTAATCACCTTTCTCAATTTATTTTCGGTTACATATGACCATATCTGTTCCCAATTTGTCTTCATTTTCTGTTTGATGATGGTTATAAAATCCTCGACAGGTACTCACCGATAAGGTATTCCATCAGTGATGGGTTTTTTGGCAGCTTGATCAGCTAGTTTATTACAGGCTATTCCGCAATGCCCAGGGATCCAGACAAAAAATACTAATATATTATTTCTATTTGTGGACTTTATTGAGTACAGAATGTTTTTTATGACGATTAGTGTTGCCCAAATGCGAGACCGAGACGAGTCTTGGTCTTGCAAACTCAGTCTTGGTCATGGTCTCGGTCTTGCGCAAGAGTCTCGCAACAGTCTTGCAGTTATTTATTAGCTTATTACTATTGAGATGTTACTGTCATTTTTTAAGATAAGAGAAACCTAATTAAGCTCGAATGAAAAATTAGAGGAGTTAAGTGCAAAAGTATATTGGTTATACCAAATATTAACTAAAATTGTTGAATATTAGTAACTATTTGCCTTAATTTTTATTTAAAAAATTGATTTTCTTTACCAGGCCTGGTCTCGGTCTTGCAACAGTTAAGCGGCCATGGTCTTGGTCTTGCAAAGTGCAAGACCAAGACCGATTTTGGGAAACACTAATGATGATATTAGATGAGAAAACATTTTCTAGAGTAATTATGTGGGATGTTTAACTTTTAAACTTTTATGTATTGCAACCAATTCAGCAATATAATTATCACATAGTGGTGAAAGAGAAAAAATATGTTGTCGCTCGTTAGATATAACTGATACTCCCTACGGAGCTCTTCGAGCCGCCAGTGTAGATAAAGTCAAAATCACCTAGTCTGTCTTGAAGTTTGAGAAATTTCTGTTTATATATAAGGCATTGCGTTGTTTTCAACAAATTTGGTGAGAGAAAGAAGAATTTTTGGAGTGGGTAGTCCCCAAGGATAAATTGGCGAATCTTCAGTTTCTTGAAAAATAGAAAGTTCAATATTTATATTATTTAGAAAAGTTGAAACTCTGATTGTAATTGTAAAGGGTGTTCTATTTGGCAAGTCAGTTTGTTGTTGATTTGTATATTGTATATTTGAAAATTAATCAGTCAGTGGATGATTAGAAGCAGAAAGGATCTTAACAAAGTAAATGAGGCCAAGTTCATCAAAGAAAATATATTTAAAAAATGATGAAACAGAAATACAAGGAATCTTCTGAAACACTTTACTAGCCTGTTATCGTCTGTGAAGTAATGATAGAGCCAAGCTACTGAGGGAGGGAAGAGCTTGGTTTGACAGGAACTGATCTTTCTCAGCTAATACCCTTAAGCCCTATAAATGTATTGCACAAAAAAAAGAACTGATGCTATTAAAAATTAGAATTCTATTTAAAAAATGCTCCTCTTAGAATGAGCAAGCCTTCGTACTATCTTCAAGGTGAGTTGTATATAAACGTTTCCAGTATACTGCCCGCTGTATTGGGGGTTCACATATACAGGAGACCATAAAAGCCAATCATACAAATCATAAAAGCCGCTGGCCTTGTAGCTGTTCACAGCTATTCAATAGATATCTTAGTAGATATCTCCGAAGAAGAGATTAAGTTAGAATAATATATATAATTCTTTAGAAGATTCTTCACATATTTTAAAAAAAATAAAACCCCGATATTATCTGTTATGCGGGCAAAGGAAAAAATTCAACTCCATAAACTGTTCCGTTTTGGTTTATTATTTTCAATAATGGGCCATTGTAACCGTCCACAAAATTCAAAAAACTTAACCTCCCACAAAAGTCGAGCTTTTATGTATCAGAATACGTAGAATTCAAAAGTAGAATACAAACATTTTTGTCCGTCCGCCGTCCGCGCATTTTTCCGAGACTTTTTTCGGACCGAATTTTTTTTTTTTTAATTTAGATTTTGTAAATATTGTATATCAGTATTTATGTGTTTTTTTATTAATTTATTTTTAGGTTATTTTATTCTTATTTATTGTATATATATTATTTTTCTGTATAATTTATTTTATTTATTGTACATAGAGTGTAAATGTGATCTGTGAACATTATTATAAATGTCCTTGAGACAGATTGTAATATTTTACAATAAATAAGTTTAAAAAAAAGAATTTAGATTTAAAGTCAGAAGTCACCCGAGGATGATCCTCTTACATCGAATTACTATCAGCCTTTTCCTTTCAAGATGGCGGCCGAAAAATAGACTGTAGCGCCTAAACGAATGCACCGATTTCAATGAAACTTGGTTAAAGTCTTCTTCTTGTTGCCCTTTAAATTTATCTATTTGATGTACTTCAATGAAAACAAACTGGGAAAAAATTACGAGGGGTGGTAAGATTAGGTTTTCGAATAACTCAATAAGTATACACTTTGTTGTTGATATTACATATGGTTATTTAAAAGTTTACGAAAAAAATCGTTAAAATCGGACAATTTGGAGCAAAGATAGGGTGTCTAAATTTTTTTTATATGTTCTACTGCAAAGGTTATATCCTTTGTTTTGGTTTTTGATTTTTTAAAGTTTTACTGAAGCGATGCTATTTTTTTAAGAAAATTATTAATGATGAAAAAAAAATGTTTATGCCAAATATAGGAATCACCTTTTATTTATTTTTCTTTTTGTTACTAGGAAGGTTATGTTACTTTAGATGTATAATTGTTGGGAAACAATAAAACCATTGTAAAATAATTTGCAGCGTTTTATTATTAGTTTTGTATTCATTAATTTTAATTTATATTATTTTTTTTCGTGGTTATGCATTATATTTATTCTATGTCAATATATTTATTTATTTTTCAGAAAGTATTCCCCAGCGCTATGTCTTTGGATTTATGGGTTTCCTCGGCGTGGCCAACGCCTACATCATGAGGGCCTGCCTTAGCATCGCCATCGTGAGGATGGTGAAGCCCGTGGTACACGATGAAACTTTAGGCTCCTCCGAGTCCATCTGTCCGTATCAAGAAGAAACCTCCCATCACAATACCACAATTGTGAGAATATGATCATTATTTATCTTTCAAATTATTTATTTAATTAAGTTCTCGTTAGATAAGCTTCTAGACGAAATCCCTTTTATTCTTTTGTGATTTTTTCTCCTCATACACGGGGAGTTTCATACAATTACTAACAAAAACATCAGATAGTCTACATCGCATTTCTAACCAGAAGTACCTATACATATATAGTCTCTATTTCTCTCGTTCCGTATAATAATTTCTTTGTGATTAGTTTATTTTTTCTGCAAAATGTCACGAATAACAAAATAACCTGTACCACCACAACCCATGAACGGTCTTGTGTTCGGTACTTAGTACTGTTTAAAGGACTACGGTTTTGCAGAGAGTTGTTTGGGCCTAGTTCACGTTCAACCGCCAGGTTTCCCCCTCAATTAATTATTTAATAATAGAGGCTAGGTCTGCCCAAGGAGGGTCTCCAGAGCCCAAGATCGATCCATGGTTGAGGTAACAGAATAAATAATTAGCTGTCACAGTCGGACTTATCTATCTAGAGTGTAGACTTATCCGGATCTAAAGCGTAGCAGCCCAATGCGTTACTTACTTAGTTAATTCGCTCTCCCATAAAAAGAAAAATAGATAAAATTTCTATTTCCATGCTTTTATAGGGCCTTTCTGATTGGAAATTCGATGTGGGATTGCTGGGATTTGTTTGTCTGTACTTATTCGAATATTAATATGACCATTTGAAGAAATGGTTTGGCTATGAGAACTAGAATAGAAATTGGATTGAAAAATATAGTGAAAAGGTAGAAACTCGAAAAATAACTGGTCAAGTTAAAGTCTTTGAATATCCGAACATTTTGTACTAGTTGAGTGCCTTATGCCTTATCGAATGAAACTCAAGACTTCTAAAAATATGTTAAAATACTTCCTACTTGCACAAATACAAGGGGCCTTCTGAATGTGACATTTGAATTCACAGATGCCAAAGATTGCCAAAGGACCAGTTGCTCCAACTCAGGAAAGTTTAGATTAAGCATTATCTAAGATTAAACCAAGTTTAATCTTGTTCGGTCGACCTTAGAAAACTTGGTTTAATCTTAGATAACGCTTATAATCTAAGCTTTACTGAGTTGGAGCAACTAGCCCTTAGCGTATTTGCTGAGGAGACATTGCGGGTTGTGGAAGGCGCCTGATTATTACAGTTGCAATAATCATATACGCCACTTTCATTAACTATTTACCAGTGTGTTTAAATTAGGTATGCTACTAGATAATATTCCTTAGGGTGGGTATTATTGTAACATAGGATTATTTCCTTAGTCTATTTATATAATTTAATTATCTTTTATTTTAACATTTTAAGTTTTTCAAGTATTGAAAATTTATATTGATCTAGGCCGAAGCTATTAACAGGGGCGATTTCTTCGAGCACATGTATTACAAGGGCGGGCGATTCCGAGAAATTATTTTTTATTTCAAGTAAAAAATATTTCTACCTACAATCCGGATATAAAATGTTTACTTTTTTGGAGGGATGTGGAAGATGAAAAAAAGCACGGTAACATTATGATTCCCAGAAAATTCTAGTTCTTGCCCTGGTATTTATCACATGTGATCATGAGCGGACACGTGGGATACGTCATGAAACCAACGAAAATCGAGGATACTTAAAATACAGTAAACCATTTTTCAGTATTTTGAAATGAAATTGTGGGATCACATATTTCAATGAATTTTTTTTTTTTTTATGATACTAGGTCGAAAAATATTAGAAACTCTATTAAAAATTCTTTACTCTAGTTTAAAAAAAAAAAAAATCTAAAATACGAATTTTCATAGTAGTCAAAACAAATTTTTTTGCATGACATTTTTGCTCAGGCAGGCCCTAAATTTTATCGCCAACCAAAAATATTTTGATAACTTTAGGATGACTCTAACAAATCGCTCAAAAATGATTAGGGACTTAAATATACTACACAAAATGATATAAATGCTACCTCCGTAAAGAAATTAGAACCAATCATAAAAAATATCAGAAGTTTTCTAAATTTCTAGCTTAAAAAGGAATAGAATCCAAGACTTGTAGCTGTAGTTTGGAAGAGTTCCAAGAAGCAATTCAGCTTTTCAATGGTTGTACAGACGATGGAGAAAATATTGAGAAGTTATGAATCAGTAAGTTAACGGCCGGAAAAAACAATTCTTGAAAATCTACTACTAAAATTTTCAATTTTGATATCTATATCTATCAATAATCCAGGTTTATGAGTATTAAATAACAATAAAATCGAATGTAACTTTGTTTTTCATAACAAAAATGCACATGGTTTACTGTACTGTAAGCTCCTTTCAGGTTTTATTATTTAAGGTATTTCATTACTCATTTAATATCGTAATAAATATTTTTGTCTTTAATCTGTACAAAAAATAAATCAGTAATATCCTAAAAATTTTGGAAAAACAAAAGCAAAAATTAATAATATAGATTTAATTTGAAATATTATAAAATATTAGCAAGAACATTCATGTCCATGGGTCCAATATTTTTCGATATAGTATCACCACAAAGTTTCATTGAAATGAATTCATGTCCAAGAATTTCGCCATTTTGTGAGCACGTGATATCCATTCGTCATTCTTTTACCTTTCTATAATTAAAGAAATTTTAAATGTCTTTTCAGGTATTTATTGCAGACTAGCTGATATTACCATCGTTGAAATATAATTTCATAAAATTGGGTGTAGTGGATGAGGGTTGTTTTGAAATTATTTATGGCGGGGGACTATGGAAGTCAAGATTTCGCAAAGTCAAAATATTACAAACTTTGTTATTTGGCTTCTTGTTTAGATGCCACCCAACTAAATCGAACAACACCGATCCATTAAAATTTTAAGTGTTTAATTTTCATTAATGATGAAGCGAGGAGATTGTAGAGCCAATTGAAATAATCAAAAAGAGTTGTAGTCTCTCCACATCTTTAAACTCTGCTGAGTTAGAGTCACCTACATCCGTGTAAAATTGAAACTTGATCTGAATATTGTGGTGAGCAGGATGAAATTTTCGGAGGTTCTCCCCTCCCCTCTCCCGATTTCCGGCTAATCCGTTTTGTTAACCCTAAAAATGTATACGGACATTTGTTAGGCCCGGAAAGTTGAATCGAATGACACCTTGAACGGGAAGATCGGACAAAGTTGAAAAATTAATGTGTTTTATTCGTGTTTTAAGCGTCAACGCGTTACAGATGTTCAGTATTTCGGATTTTTCCCGTTGAGTTGTGATAATTTGTTCCATCAGTTGAATAGTACCACTTTTAAATGAGGCTCGAAAGTTGAAATGAGAATCGAAGTAAGTCTGCCTAACCGGGATCTCTAGACAACTTACTCAAGAATTCATAACATTGGATCTACTCAATATTTTATTTTCATTTAAAGCCTATGTTTTAAGTTAAGCGAACCTAAATATAATACCAAAATTTCAAAAGCCTACCATTAGCCATTGCTGAGCTTACCCCTGACAAAATTTGTTTGGACAATGCGGGTATACAGATAGATAACAACTTTTTTACTTATATATACTAGGTAAGGAAAGTGTTGCAATCGGGTCAAATTTCCGACATGCGGTTTTCGACGGATCTATACGTTTCCCAGCCCCCTGAGTCCGAAAAACACATTTTTAGCCATTGGTCTGTCTGCCAAGATTTTCTCGGGAACTACTGAACCGATTTTGTTGCTTCTTTTTTTATTTTATAGGGGTCTGACTACTGATGCCTGTGACAGAAATTCGTTGCTCCATGCGCAATAGCTTGCGCGCAATAAATGAAAAACATGTTTTTCTATAGACTGTAGCTCGAAAACGGCTCTAACGATTTTGATGAAACTTTTCTATGATGTTCTAATCATTATCCTTTCAATTTTCGTATATAGACTAAATTCTCGAAAAAAATCAAGAAAAAAAGTTATAAAGAAAAGAAAAATGCTATGGGGCCTAACTCCCTAAGTATATATTATACAGTGAAATTTATAATAAAACTTTTGAAAGATAATTAAATTACCAACAAAACAAAAGAAAAATCATCGGAATCGAACCAGTATTAGCGATGATACAGCTTATTCTATTTTTTACACATTTTTTAAACTTATTTTATTACTTTCCTACCTATACTAGGTAAGGAAAGTATTGCAATCGTGTCAAATTTCCGACATGCGGTTTTCGACGGATCTATACGTTTCATAGCCCTGACACACAACATTTTAGCCGATCGTTTGAAAGGTAATTAAATTCTTTACAAAACCATATAAAAATCGTTCATTTTGGACAACTATTAACGAAGTTACAGCGATTCAATTTCCAATGAAAGATTACGAGTTCATTTCCTGGTGTCAGAAAGGGATGAATAGGAGAATAAAGATGACTAAGTGAAATCAAGAAATTCTGTTGCCCGCATTACACAACCTTCACTATTTCCTCTACTTTTAACAGAAATTATTGTTTGACAATACTAAGCTATGGCAAAAAGTTTTTGATCAACAATATTAGTAAAGATTTAAAAACTTTTCTGAAATAGGTAGGAAAGTCGTGTGAGTGGACACACTAGATTTTTTAAAGTGGATTTTGTATCTGTAATATGTATGATACGGAAAGATACTATGAAACGGGTTGATTCTATTCAATGTACAGACAAAACTTTTGTTATTTATATAGATAAAACTGAAAAATTAATTATAGTCTATTTAATATCTGTATTTACTACTATTATACTATTTTCTAACAATAAACTCTTAAAATAAACTTTTTTACTATCATGGCTGTCTAGCTATATTGTTACACAATTCTGTTTTGCAATCTGTTTAACAGTTAAAAATACTTCTGACACTACTATTATAATATCAGTATCCAGTATCTTACTATTGGGATATATTGTGATTATTGATATTCGATCTAATAGATAGATAGTTGTAGATATGAATCTATTTGTTAATAGGCCATTGTTTCAATCTTACATAAGTATTTATTATGACATTCGTTGATGACA